AAAAAAAAAAAAAAAAAAAAAAAAAAAAACCAGAGAGAGTTTACCACCAATAGGTGTACAAAGAACTTGTTAAAGGATAATTTCCAGGAATAAAGAAAATGATCCCAAATGGAAGACCTGGATTACAAGAAGAAATGGTGAGCAAAGGAGCTAATATAAACATAAGTAGATGTAAACAAATAATGTTGGCATAAAATAATAATAGCTTTTATAAATAAATTTATAAATAAACATAAGTAAATTTATAAGTTTTTTAGAAATACAGAACTAAATTATGTAATAATATTAGGCAAAAAAGGTGGTAGAGACAAGCCCAAATAATGTCAAAGAATGGAAAACGAAAGGGTTAAAAGTAAAGAGAAAATATACCAGACAAATAGTTGGGGTGGCTAAAATAATTAAAGTTAACACATGGTACTTACCATGTGCCAAGTACAAATGTTAATTCATTTAATCTTTACAACTCTATGAGGTAGATACTGTTATTATTCCAGAGAAATTAAGTAATTTGTCCACGGTCTCAAAATTGGTGAAGACTAGCACCCACAGTCGTGCACACTCTTGTCTGCACAAGGGCACCTGGCCACAGCAGCAAATGCAAGCTCAGATGCAGCCAGCATTCCCCCAGCAAGCTGTGTTCTCTGGAGCAGGGCTATCCCATCTGGAAAAGGGACACCTTTTCCCAATTTGCACGAATGTGCCACATGGGCTAGTGGCAGCCTTGCAGAAACAGTAGAGCCAACATGTGAATTCGGATGGTCTGAACCAACAGTCTGCTCTTACCCACTATTCTATATTGCTTCCCGGTATTAATAGCAAACAAAATAGACCTTTAAATTTTTAAAAAGCACTTTAGAGATGGAAAGGGTCACTACTAAAATGTTAAAGGGTTTAGCTCACTAGGGAGGTAAAACAACTTTTATGTACTTAATAAAAGGACCCAAAACATAAAAACCAAAAATTGCTAGAGCAGGAAATTTAAAAATATGCTCCCTAAATAGTAGATTTCTATATTCCTTTCAGTTACTGATATTTCTAAGAGACAGCAATTTTAGACAAATTATAGAAAATTTAAAAATACAGTTAACTGGGCCGGCCCGGTGGCGCACTGCTACAGTGCGCCGCTTGGGAAGCACGGCGGCGCTCCCGCCGAGGGTTCGGATCCCACATACAGACTGGCCG